GAAATTAAAGTTTCAGTTAAGCATCTTTGCCAATAATGGTTTTTGCTGTAGACAGTGTTTAGATAATCTTTATAATAATCGTATACTGTATTGCGACTATGATACCGTAGTTTACATTAAAAAGCTCATGTTCAAATACAGGTGAAAATCCTAAATTGCAGAATCTTTCTTCTGCTGATGTAATATCCGGCCGAACTTCTGAAAATGATTGAACAATGCCACTTCAACAAAATATCGTATGTAATGTATTCGAAATACCAACAGTGGTATTTCAGTTAAACGTTACTTCATACGTTACTGTCGTAACAGGTACACGCTGTAAACAGACGTAGGAATGGCTCAAGAATATTACATTAATTTTGTGGGAATAAAGAACTTTGTAGCTCAGTTTTAAAATTATTATTATGTGAGTCATCAATAATACAAGCTTTTCAAAAAAATAACAGCACATTTGTGAGACGCAGAAAATTTGTGTAAGGCTTCAGAATAACATAATTACAGCTATGAATATTTATCTTTTGTTTTAATAAAACTTAAATCATCTGTCTGTTTTTCAGTTTAACGTAGTGCTGCCATCTGTTGACAACTTAATAAGAATCTTAGAACGTTTTGACCATTTAAATATTTCACGTATTATGAATACGGAGCTAGTAATGTTAGAATTTAAGCGACGCTAAGAAAGTTTTACGGTAAAGTATAGACATTATGTAGCTAACATGTGAATATGTATTAAGAAATATGATTCACACTCTAGTTATCAATGGGCATATGCAAATAAACGTACGATTATTTATGAAATTTTTCCAGTTATGTATACTATGATGAAAGAATTAGCACAAATGATATACCCCCAAAAAATAAAACAGGCGAGCACATTTCATATGACCTGGAAACCCGAGCGCTTTTGAATAGTTTGGGGTAATAAATGTAAACAAGAAGTGCACGTCACGTGAGCAGGAACTGTTTGTGGAGGTGGCCGTGAAAACTGACAAACCACGATAAAACAAGGGTGTGTCATCAGAAAAATGAATGTGAAGGGTGTGTGTTTATTTCCAGTTAACAAACCATGAATTGTTTGTTTTAGCGCAAAGGTATATATATAATAGGCTAGCTACGATCTGTTCACCGCGAGAAATTTAACCCCGGATTGTAAGTCAGTAAACCTAGCACTGACCCATCGGGAGAGTGGGGGTAGTCAACAAACTATGGAAAAAACACGTACATACATATAAAAAGTGTAATAAAAATAATAACTCAAGAGTAAGATAGAAAAAATAGAACATTATGTTCTCTGATACAAAACAAAGGATAACGTATTTAAAAGCGTAAGATCACTTGATCCTAGAAATCAAACCGTTAAAAAATTAAAAATATAAAGATATAAAAACCTTCTATTAAAAACTTTTTACTTTATCTATTTATTTAAAAGCCAACGGAATTGTAAAGAAGGAGAATAGAATTTGAAAATAGATTGACTCGTTCAGGTTTACAAAATGTTGAGTTTACGAACATACAACTCTAAAATCCGGGATTCAATTCCCCGTGATGGACAGAGTGCAGATAGTTTATTGTGTAGCTTTAAGCTAAAGCTAACAAACAATCTATAAGAAAGAACTGAAGATGGCTAACTTTAGCTTAAATAGCGAGTATAGAAACTTTTGGAGATTTGTTAGAAATTTACCAAGGTTAACAATCCCGGAATCATAATAAGGAGTTACACCATTCAAAGTTGCCATCTAGAAAATCTCCTTAACTTCTCTATCTCTTTTTGATGTGGAGTAGGTGACTATACTGATGAGTTTAATAACATGACCATTCAAAGTTGCCATCTAGAAAATCTCCTTAACTTCTCTATCTCTTTTTGATGTGGAGTAGGTGTCTATACTGATGAGTTTAATAACATGACCATTCAAAGTTGCCATCTAGAAAATCTCCTTAACTTCTCTATCTCTTTTTGATGTGGAGTAGGTGACTATACTGATGAGTTTAATAACATGAAGGGAGTGATCCAGCATGTTAGTGTTTAACCACAGGAAGATATTTGGTTTTAGTGATAGATTCGTAAATGTTAAAATGTTTTTCGTAAAGTTAAGATGATTTGTCCTACGTTTTGGCAGTTACATTTTTGACATTAGATAAACAGCGTTTTTAGTGGTCTAAGAAATGTTTTTGTGATTCTGTACTGTTTTTGGTTGTCTTTATCAGAGAACTGGTCTGTATATTGTATACATTTGCAGGTTTGCCAACGTTTGCTATTGCAGGAGTAACTTCCACCTTCCATGGAACTAAGTGGGACTTTAAAGTTTCGTTGTTACCAAAAAGAACACTAGGAGTGCCGGAAAATTTTAATTTTAGTCGCTTATTAATCTGAGGGAGGTCAAAATGTTTCTTTATAAACTGATAGATTTTTTAAAAATGTGTTGATTGAGAATAACTAGGACTGCTGAGAACGATAAAGAGAGTTTCAGGTGAGAATTTGAGTGTCCCCTACCAGAACAGGTTTTGAATAGTTCCGCGTACAAGAATAAGTGGTTGAAGGCGTGGTTAATATTCTGTACACACACTCTTTTACCGCTCTCATGCTCCCATCTCGATGAGAAGTGCACCCGTTTCGGTAGACCTGGGGATAACCATTGGAACACTGGAGGAGTTTTAATCCAATGATTGTTTCAAGGCACCGTAGCTTGTGATATTGCTAGCATTATCAATTTGTTTTATCACATTGTTGATGCTATAACTTCTTTTAGTTGTAGCTCTTTTCAAAGACTTAATGTGACTTTCATAGTCCTTATTGTTAGAGCAAATGTTCTTGAACATGAGAGGTGGAACTAATGTCATATTAGGTTTGATGTCTGTAGGGTTATAACGTTTATAGTGTGTATCGGTTGGTTAATAGTACAGATCAGTGCCTAGACAACCATCTTTAAATGTTATAGTTACATCTAAAAATTGACTTGAGTAGCCTAATAATCCAAAGTGAATTTAATAGAACTATAGAAGGAGTTAGCTCGTGTACAAAAGGATAACATAGAATCTTCGTTTTCTATCCAGAAGGAAAAAACTTCAATTTTTCGGTTTTTCTGTATAATTTTCTCAACTCCAATTTCTAAAAATATTAGTACCGATAGCCATGATATTTGTCTGAACGAGTTTTGTCTAGTTGTTATCTTGATGAACCCTTCTATACTTTCATATAATCAGGACTGACAAGTTTAAGTTTTATTCTGACACTGACAAAGTCTTCTAGACTTCCAAGTTAATTATTTTAGTAGGACGAACTTTAACTATACTCTCCGAGTTTTTCTGAACAGTTTTTAGTGTAATTTAATGATAAAAACTCAGAACTGCTAAGTAAAAACTGGACAAAACTAGAAAATTATTGTATCTGTAAATTTATACTGCTGTAAACGATTTTATATCTGTAAAGTTACACTACTGTATATGTTTTTATGTCGGTAAAGTTACACTACTGTATATGTTTTTATGTCTGTAAAGTTATACTACTGTATATGTTTTTATGTCTGTAAAGTTATACCACTGTATATGTTTTTATGTCTGTAAAGTTAC